CCTTTTTTTGTTGTTTTTGTTCATTGTTTTTCTGCGTTAATTGCATGGAGACTGGGGACGTCGCACAGGGGGAGTGGGGAGAGGGCCTGGCCCCGGGCGCCCACACAGGTCTTGATCGACTCCGGTGCCCCCCACCCATTCGCCGACGTTGGCCCACCCGGCCAGGAGGAAGTCGCGTGGGAGTTGTCTGAGGAGGTTTTTCCTCTCTCTCCCTTTTATTTTGGGGTGAAGGTGGGAGACGGATTTGATCAGCGTCTTATTTTGGGACATCCCAACCCACTCGGCCCTGCCTGGGTGCCTGGGCGCGGTCTGGAGGGGCTGGGAAGTGCCCGAGAAGGGGGAGGGGATCTGGACTTGGCTCCCTCCGACCCCTTCGGCGCCCTGGTTCCATCCCCAAGGAACCATCTCTCCAGAAAGAACACACTCTGTGTCCTGAAGGGCTCTGAGGCTGAAAGGAAAAGGTGGCCCTAGGAATGGGGGTGACCAGGAAGTGTGAAAATCTGCCCTGTGGCCAATCCTGGCACTGGCCGGGAGGAGGAGGCGTCCTCTTTCCAGGCATGAAGTGTGCACTGAGGCCTGAAAGGAGAGCTCTCAACAGTAGGATCCTGGGCATCTGGGGGCAGCCCACTGCCATCATGGCCTGCCCTGCCTTCTCCCTGCCCCTGCCCCCTTAGGCCCCCTAAGGGAGGGGCAGCAGCCCTGTCTCTGCTTTAAGTGGGTCATGGGCAGTCCCAGTGTCAGAACCACCCTTTGCTTCTAGGCTCTGGAGGGGTGGGAGGCAGAGGGAGGGAGGAGCAGGCCCAGAGGCTCCCATCTGGGCCTGCTCGAGAGCCAGAGATGGCCCCCCACACCCTCTCCACTCCTGGGCCAAAGGTGGGATGGGTTCCCTTGACTTTCCCTTAGGGCAGCAATTTTCAGCTGGCCTGCAGCATGCTGGGGCTCACTGTTGAGCCTGTGCTGCAAGAATGTTAAAACTCGTGCAATACCTGACTATTTAGTCAGGGCCATTGACCTCTTTTCCCTTTGATTGTCAAATAACAAATGACAACAGCCAACACAACAATAGCCGTCCAGTGTGAAGGTATCAAACTTATACCTATTTGTCGGATCGGCAAAAAATATATTTTGTGGTGTGCCACAGAATTTTAGTAATTCGTTTATGTGTGTCATGAGATGGGAAAGGTTGAAAATCGCTGCCCTAGGGCAGTGGTCGGCAAACTCATTAGTCAACAGAGCCAAATATCAACAGTACAACGATTGAGATTTCTTTTGAGAGCCAAATTTTTTAAACTTAAACTATATAGGTAGGTACATTGTTATTAACTTAATTAGGGTACTCCTAAGGCTTAGGAAGAGTCACACTCGAGAGCCGCAGTTTGCCGACCTTGGCCCTAGGGGAATACCTTCCACCACTCAGTTTTCAAGACAAAGCCAACCAATAAAGTTCTCTGACCCAACATAGTTGCTCCCTCTCCAGGCCGAGCTGGGGTGGCCCAGGCCTCAGGCAGCTGGGTTCCTTCCACCAGGCTCCATAGTCCTGCACCAGCTTCAGAACAGCCCTCTCCTCCCTGTCTGGCACTCAGCCCTGCCCCCACCCGGCCGCAGACACAGGAGTCCTCTCTCCTGTGGTTCCAGGCCCAGTCTCTGTGGTTCTTGCTTTGCTCAGAGCTGGCCCCTGTGAGGGGAGAAAGCCTAGGCGTGGAGGAGTGGGGCAGGGGCACCTCCTTTCCAAGCTTTGCAGTTCCCTTGACTCCAGGGATGTCCCCTTTTTGCCTAAGTCTCTACTTTTAACTATTGGGTGTGGGGTGGAGGTTGTGGGTGTGAATGTTTTCATCTGCCTGCCTTCCTGAAAGACTCATCAGGGAGAGGGATTTATCCCAGAGCTCTTGGCTGTGGATTCTCCCCACCTGTCTGCCACGCACCCTTCTGTCATCCTGTCCTAGAATTCCCCTCAGGTTTGCTTCATGAGGGTTGAGGAGGCCTGACCTCAGTCCTCCTGACTTCCGGTTCCACTTAGGTCACTATTCCTTCCCAAAGCTGAACTCCTACCCAGGTCATAAGGCCTGGGGTGTGTACCATACAGGTGAGACTAGGGGCACAGAGTTTCCTGAGTGCTCAGGCATATGCCACAGCAGGCTTCCTGCAGGCACTAGCTGAAGCGTCAGCCAGCACAGGTCAAGGCAAGCATTCATCTGTTGGAGAGCGGCCCACGCCTGCAGCACCCTTCTCTGCTCCCCTCTGGGGTACCAGGGGTTAAACTTTACTCCTTCTTCTACCCTTGAGGTGGGGCCCTGGAGCAGGTGGTGCTAGGGTGACTTGGCCAGGCCTGTTGGCTGGGGAAGGGCTGGGTTGTTTACATCTCAGGCCCTACCTCCATCATCCTTGGGGGATCACTTCCCAAAAACATGTTGCAATTCTCTATTTTTTTTTTATTTTTTGTTTTGATTTCGGAGAGGCAGGGAGCGGGAGAGAAATAGAAACATCAATGATGCCTCCTGCACACCCCCTACTGAGGATCGAGCCCACAACCTGGGCATGTACCCTGACCTGGAATTGAACCATGATCTCCTGGTTCATAGGTCGATGCTCAACCATTGAGCCATACCGGCAGGACCCATTATTGCAGTTTTTGCCCCTGCAGGCTCCGGTCCCCAATCAGCTGCTCCTGAATCACCTCTAGCCCCTATGCAAGAGTACTGTTTCATCACTGGGGCATGTGCCTAGAGGTGAAGGACCACATGGAGATTTATCCTAATAACCTAGGATGGAGGGCACAGCACCTAACACCAGTAGCCTCAACCCCTCTGCACCTCAAGCTCCCATCCCAGGCAATGTGCAGCCCCTCTGGACTGCTTAGGAAAGCAACACTGGATCAGGGACCAGCTGTCGAGGTAGCGTCTCCCTGTAGGAAAATCCAAGTATTTCCATATCCCATATATAATTTGGCTCGTTTTACTTTTCAGGCTTTAGGAAAATATTCCATTGCTGTTACAATAAAGGTTGATTTTTTTTTTCTCAATGAGGTTTTACAGGTTTGTTTTGTTAATCCCCACCCAAGGATTTTTTTCCATTGTTTTTTTTGTTTTGTTTTTTGGGTTGGTTTTTTTTTTTTGAGAGAGAGAGAGAGGAAGGGAGTGGGAGAGACAGAGAGAAACATCCATGTGAGAGAGACACATTAATTGGTTGCCTCCCAAATGCAGGGACCAGGGATTAGGGCCCAGAATCAGAATCGAACCCAGGACACTTCAGTCCAAGGCGACGCTCTATCCACTGAGCAAAACCAGCTAGGGCTGTCCTTTCAATCAAACACCAAAAACCTAACTTTACTTTAAGGAGCAGGGGTGAGGATTATAAAGGCCTGTGGATTCATTTGGTCTGGCCCTGCCAGGGCATTAGGGGTGAGTTAATTAAATGTTTGGCCAAATATAGCAGGCTAATTTTTAAGTTGATAATTTTGTATGGCCCGAGAATGATATTATAAGTATTCAAATGGGCCTTGGCAGAAAAATGTTCCCCACCCCTGCTTCTACATGTCAGCATTTATATTACACCGTTCACAATGTACCTAAAATAAAATACCGTTACCGAGTATCCACCTCACTCCCAGCTCCCACTCGCTCTACTACGATCCTGAAATGGACAGTGCAGGTCCCAGGCCCTAGGTCAGATGCCGTTTGGATGGAAACAGTGGCAGGATCCTGGCTCTGGCTGCATCACACTTCTCACCACCTGCAGAAGCCCCGACTTCCCCTGTCAGCAGCCAGCCTCAGCCCTAGCTCCTTTTCTGTCCTCCTTTCTTTAAAAAATCTCAGCTCTGAGGTTCCTGGAGGCTTGGCATCCCCCTCCCAGGAGGGCCTCAGCCTCTCCCCTCTCTACCCTGAGAAGACATCTGAGAGCTCAGTTAAACTCGGTTCCCATGAAGACAGCTGTAGCCAAAGTCCAGAGCTGAGGCTCCAAGAGGACAAGGCATACTGGGGCCGGGGCCAGAATTCAGGTCCAGCCCTGGAGTTCCTCCAGACCCACTGCCAGAGCCAGGCTGGAGGCTCACTGCCCTTTCCTCAGCAAGTGGGAGGTGCATGCCAGGTAACGTGAGGAGGCGGAGGCTTCCCTTGGGCCAGGTGGGGATGCTCTAAGCCTCATCCCGTTCCCTACAGGCCTGGCTGCAGCAATATGGCTACCTGCCCCCTGGGGACCTGCGTACCCACACACAGCGCTTACCTCAGTCACTCTCAGCTGCCATCGCTGCCATGCAGAGGTTCTACGGTCTGCGAGTGACGGGCAAGATGGATACAGACACCATGAAGTAAGTGCTGGACCCTGGCAGGGATTCTGCCCAGCACACACTGACAAAACACTGAGCACCATAGAAGTTGCTACCTGAATGCCTGGCGCGTGCCCCTGTACCTCATCGCCACATGTTGATCCTGAGCCTTTTCATTTACCCTGACCTTCCTCACACTGACCCTGGGCCCAGAGAGTCCCCCTGTCCTCCAAAGACCTTCCTCTTTCATACACTATACTGACCCGTCTTCACGCTTCAACTACCTCAGGGCCATGAAGCGCCCCCGCTGTGGTGTTCCAGACAAGTTTGGGGCTGAGATCAAGGCCAACGTTCGAAGGAAGCGCTATGCCATCCAGGGCCCCAAATGGCAGCATAACGAGATTACTTTCTGGTGAGTCTAACAGGCAAGTGGCCTTACTCACATCAGGTTCCCCTTCCCTATCAGCTGTGCTTACAGAGGCTCAGAGGCATCTTGCCACACTCACCTCTCCCTGGGATGCATCCTTGGGAGTGGGGAGGAAAATGGCTGTAACCCTGAGAGAGAGACCGCCTGTGAGGGAAAAGGGGTACGCCCCAGGGCCAGAAAGCCAAAGCCTGAGGGTCCCTGAGCTCTCAGTACTTGAGGCAAAGGCATCTGGAGGTGGCAAAGGTGGCTAAGCAGTTCAGTCAGACTTGGGAGAGTACAGGGAAGGAGAGTTTTGTCCCTTGTGATCCTAACATACTCTAATCCTCTCCCCACGTGGCTGGACCTCAGCATCCAGAATTACACCCCCAAGGTAGGCGAGTATCGCACCTATGAGGCCATCCGCAAGGCCTTCCGCGTGTGGGAGAGTCACACACCGCTGCGTTTCCGAGAGATACCCTATTCCTACATCGAGAATGGCCATGAGCACGCCGACATCATGATCATGTTTGCTGAGGGCTTCCATGGCGACAGCACACCCTTCGATGGCGAGGGTGGCTTCCTCGCACACGCCTACTTCCCAGGCCCCCACATCGGAGGCGACACCCACTTTGACTCTGCTGAGCCCTGGACTGTCGAAAATCAGGATCTGAATGGTGAGCCCTGGGGAGAGTCAAAGATCATTTGTACAGGGTTCTCCTGCCTCCTCCCGAAACCTCATACCCCCAAATCTCAGGGCTACCAGGGACCACAAAGATCTCCAACAGTTTTAAACTATTTATATGTGGTTCCTTCTCTTGCCCAATAACTGACTCCTCAAAGGCTTCAAAGCCTCCCCATCACCCGCTTATCCAGACAAATGTCATCCTGGGAGAAAGGGGCCCGGAGAGAGCCCTCAGCTTCCCTCAACACAAGTCTCCTGGGCTTGGGATCTAGTCCCAGAGCACGCTCACCTCCTCCCAGAAGAGCATGGTGGTTTGGTGGCTTTTCTGAGTGGAAAACAGCAGGCAGGCTCGGGTGTGAAACCAAAGCCTCAGATGGGAAAGTTGGGAGCCTGAGGGAAGGGATCCCGGCCGCCACCATAGTCTCTCTCCTCCCTCCAGGGAATGACATCTTCCTGGTGGCCGTGCATGAGCTGGGCCACGCCCTGGGCCTCGAGCATTCCAGTGACCCCTCGGCCATCATGGCGCCCTTTTACCAGTGGATGGACACAGAGAACTTTGTGCTGCCCGATGATGACCGCCGGGGCATCCAGCAACTTTATGGCAAGTAGTCCATGCCCGCCTCTGCTCCTTTCTCTCTGCTCCTTGCCTGTGTCTTCTTGGCCTTCCTGTTTCTTCCCGTCGCCCCACATCCCCCTCCTGACTGCCTCTATCTGCTCCCACTTTTGAGTCCACCTCTTCTGTTCTTTCCTAGCTGATTGCTTCAGCCTCTCTCTACCCTTTCCAAAGGCGTTGTCTGCCCATGTGCCTGTCCTTTCCTCTCCCGCTGCCACCAAGTCTGAAGTGCTCCCATGTTCTCTGCCCCAGGGAGTAAGTCAGGCCCCACCAAGATGCCCCCTCCACCCAGGACCACCTCCAGGCCCTCTGTCCCTGACAAGCCCAAAAACCCCACATACGGGCCCAACATCTGTGACGGGAACTTCGACACTGTGGCTGTGCTTCGAGGGGAGATGTTTGTCTTCAAGGTGAGAGGAAGAAGTGGGCTGGTTTGGAGGACAAGAGGGCTCCATGCCCGGGAGGCAGGGTGGAAACAGCAGCTTGAGGACTAAAAATGAAAACGGAGGCAGTGGGGGAGCTTCGGGAACTGAATCTGAGGACTGAGTGACAAGACATAATGTACTCTTATGTCGACTGCCTCCCAGGAGCGCTGGTTCTGGCGGGTGAGGAATAACCAAGTGATGGATGGCTACCCAATGCCCATCGGCCAGTTCTGGCGGGGCCTGCCTGCATCCATCAACACTGCCTACGAGAGGAAGGATGGCAAGTTTGTCTTCTTCAAAGGTAACCAGGCCTTAGTCTTTGGGTCTGGGATGTCTCCCTGGATGAGCAGATTCCACCTGACTCCTCCATAGACCCTAGAACCCAAGTGGACCCTCCATCCTGCCCTTCTGTCTCCCCAGGAGATAGGCACTGGGTGTTTGATGAAGCTTCCCTGGAGCCTGGCTACCCCAAACACATTAAGGAGCTGGGCCGAGGCCTGCCTACTGACAGGATTGACGCCGCCATCTTTTGGATACCCAATGGAAAGACCTACTTCTTCCGGGGAAACAAGTAAGACCTTAACCCCTTGACCCCAGGCCTGCCTCCTCAGCTACCAGAGTCCCTCAGTTCTGGAGGAAGACCCACTTTATGCCTGGGTTGTTTCCCTGGAGAAGGAGTTGGCGGAGCCTCTGTTGTTGCCTAGCAATGAGCAGCCTCCATTGGGTGCTGAGTGAGTGGGATGTGACCGGGTCACCATTTCAGACCTGGTCATTTGACGCCTCCTGCCCCGGCACCGTGCCTCCGCTCCAGCAGCCTAGCACTGTCATTAAGGGCTGCTGGTGGCTCCTTCCAGCCTGGCCCTCCCTCCCACCTTCCGCTGCTCTCAGCTGCAGGCCCTCATTACTCAAAACTCCTGTCCACAGCCGCCCTTACCTTACTGGTGACTTCAGTCCCGGGTCTGGCTACCCTCGGAGGAAGTGCCCAGTGTCCAACCACTTCCTCCTCTCCTCTCCACCAGGTACTACCGTTTCAACGAGGAGCTCAGGATGGTGGAGAACGACTACCCCCAAAACATCAAGATCTGGGAAGGAATTCCTGAGTCTCCCAGAGGGTCATTCATGGGCAGTGATGAAGGTGAGAAGGGCCTGGGAAGTGTCTGTGAGGGGAGGGTCGGAACAAAGAGTTAAGAGAGAGGAAGAAGAAAGATGGAGAGTATTGTGGGAAAATAATGACAATGATAATAAGGTGGAGCCTTTCCCATGGGTCAGTCACTGGGCTAGTGCTTTCCATGTGTCAGACCCTGTAGTCCCCACCCCTCCTCCAACCTGGTACTAGAATTACCCCGTTTACAGCTGAGGAAACTGCTGTTAGGAGAGGTTAACTCAGCCAGCCACACACTGACAGATTTTCTTTCTGCTCTTGTCTGGGTCTCCTGGATGCCGCCCCGCCTGTGTCTTCTCTGCCACCTTCTTGCTGACGCCTGCAGTCTTCACGTACTTCTACAAGGGGAACAGATACTGGAAATTCAACAACCAGAAGCTGAAAGTAGAGCCAGGCTACCCCAAGTCAGCCCTGCGGGACTGGATGGGCTGCCCTTCGGAGGGCCGGCCAGATGGGGGGACTGAGGAGGAAACGGAGGTGATCATCATCGAGGTGGACGAGGAAGGCAGTGGGGCAGTGAGCGCAGCCGCTGTGGTGCTGCCTGTACTGCTGCTGCTGCTGGTGCTGGCAGTGGGCCTTGCGGTCTTCTTCTTCAGACGCCACGGGACCCCCAAGCGACTGCTCTATTGCCAGCGATCCCTGCTGGACAAGGTCTGACCCCCATCGCTGCCCACCCACTCCTACCACGTGGACTTTGCCTCTGAAGGCCAGTGGCAGCAGATGGTGGTGGGTGGGCTGCTCCCACCCGATCCAAGCTCTCTCCCCACCCCGCCTCCCTTCTCTGTTCCATGACTGGCCCCTCCCACCTCAATCCTGGCATTGCTTCTTCCCTAGATGGGTCCCCTGGGGGCTGAACTGGGGCCACCCCTTCCAGTCCCTGCCCCTCAAGGGCCCCTGTAGCTTGGTGTATGTCCAGCCCCATCTGAATGTCTTGGCTCTGCACTTGAAGGCAGGACCCTCAGACCTCACTGGTAAAGGTCAAATGGGGTCATCTGCTCCTTTTCCATTCCCTGACATACCTTTAACCTCTGAACTCTGACCTCAGGAGGCTCTGGGCACTCCAGCCCCGGCAGGCCCCCAGGTGTACCCAGTTAGCAGCCTCCCACCACTCTTTCTGGCTAAAAGGAATCTAACCTTTTGTCGGGGGAGAACCTGAGAGAAGGTGAAGGGGTGGGGCTGCATAGCCACCGTAAGACCTAGGGAGGGAAGTTCAGAGAGGGTCATTCTTTTCCACAAAGATCTGCCTCTCCCCCTCCTTCTGCCCCCAAGTACTTCATGGAAGAAGCCTGAGCCATTATGGAGTGAACTGAGGCTGCAGAAACCCTTGACAGCCTTACTCTCCCAAATGTTAGCCTTGGATGCGGATGTCAAGTTGGAAGAGCTGAGGCCAGGGAGAAGAAATGGGTATTTCACAAAGTACATAACAAA